AAATGACACCTGTCCACAGAAGCAATCAATCAGATTCCAAACTCTCCACAATTGCCAAGACCAAAGAGCTCTCCAAGGATGTCAGGGACAAGATTGTAGACCTACACAAGGCTGGAATGGGCTACAAGACCATCGCCAAGCAGCTTGGTGAGAAGGTGACAACAGTTGGTGCGATTATTCGCAAATGGAAGAAACACAAAATAACTGTCAATCTCCCTCGGCCTGGGGCTCCATGCAAGATCTCACCTCCTGGAGTTGCAATGATCATGAGAACGGTGAGGAATCAGCCCAGAACTACACGGGAGGATCTTGTCAATGATCTCAAGGCAGCTGGGACCATAGTCACCAAGAAAACAATTGGTAACACACTACGCCGTGAAGGACTGAAATCCTGCAGCGCCCGCAAGGTCCCCCTGCTCAAAAAAGCACATATACAGGCCCGTCTGAAGTTTGCCAATGAACATCTGAATGATTCAGAGGAGAACTGGGTGAAAGTGTTGTGGTCAGATGAGACCAAAATGGAGCTCTTTGGCATCAACTCAACTCGCCGTGTTTGGAGGAGGAGGAATGCTGCCTATGACCCCAAGAACACCATCCCCACTGTTAAACATGGAGGTGGAAACATTATGCTTTGGGGGTGTTTTTCTGCTAAGGGGACAGGACAACTTCACCGCTTCAAAGGGACGATGAACGGGGCCATGTACCGTCAAATCTTGGGTGAGAACCTCCTTCCCTCAGCCAGGGCATTTAAAATGGGTCATGGATGGGTATTCCAGCATGACAATGACACAAAACACACGGCCAAGGCAACAAAGGAGTGGCTCAAGAAGAAGCACATTAAGGTCCTGGAGTGGCCTAACCAGTCTCCAGACCTTAATCCCATAGAAAATCTGTGGAGGGAGCTGAAGGTTTGAGTTGCCAAACGTCTGCCTCAAAACCTTAATGACTTGGAGAAGATCTGCAGAGAGGAGTGGGACAAAATCCCTCCTGAGATGTGTGCAAACCTGGTGGCCAACTACAAGAAACGTCTGACATCTGTGATTGCCAACAAGGGTTTTGCCACCAAGTACTAAGCCATGTTTTGCAGTGGGGTCAAATACTTAGTTCCCTCATTAAAATGCAATTCAATTTATAACATTTTGGACATGTTTTTCTGGATTTTTTTGTTGTTATTCTGTCTCTCACTGTTCAAATAAACCTACCATTAAAATTATAGACTGATCATGTCTTTGTCAGTGGGCAAACATACAAAATCAGCAGGGGATCAAATACTTTTTTTCCTCACTGTATACACCAGCCCCCATAATGACAGAGTGAAAACATGTTTTTAGAAATTTTAGGAAATGTATTGAAAATGAAGTGCAGAAATGTCTCGTTTACATAAGTATTCACACCACAGAGTCAATACTTTGTAGAATCACTTTTGGCAGGGATTACAGCTGTCTTTCTGGGTAAGTCTGTAAGAGCTTTCTTAACCTGGATTGTGCAATATTTGCCCATTTTTATTTTTTTCAAAATTCTTCAAGCTCTGTCAAATTGGTTGTTGATCATAGCTAGACAACCATTTTTCAGGTCTTGCCATATATTTTAAAGTAGATTTAAGTCAAAACTGTCTTCTTGGTAAGCAACTCCAGTGTAAATTTGGCCTTGTGTTTTAGGTTATTTTCCTGCTGAAAGGGGAATGAATCTGCCGGTACTAGGTGGAAAGCAGATTTAAACCAGGTTTTCATCTAGGATTTTGACTGTGCTTTGCTCCATTCCGTTTCTTTTTAATCCTGAAAAACTCCCGTCCTTAATGATTACAAGCATATGCATAAAATGATGCAGCCCCCACCACTATGCTTGAAAATATGGAGAGTAGTACTCCGTAATGTATTGGATTCGTCCCAAACATAACACTTTGTATTCAGGACAAAAAGTTAATTACTTTGCCAGATTTTTTTGCAGTATTACTTTAGTGCCTTGTTGCAAACAGGATGCATGCTTTGGAATATTTTTTATTATATACAAGCTTTCTTATTTTCACACAATTAGGTTAGTTTTGTGGAGTAATTACAATATTGTTGATCCATCCTCTGTTTTGTCCTATCACAGCCACTGTAGTAGGATTGTTTTAAAGTCACCATTGGCCTCATTGTGAAATCCCTGAGCCGTTTCCCTCTCCGGCAACTGAGTTAGGAAGGACGCCTGTATCTTTGTAGTGACTGGTTGTTTTGATACATTATCCAAAGTGTAATTAATAACTTCACCATGCTCCAAATGATATTTATTATTATTATAATTTTTTACCCATCTACCAATAGGTGCCCTTCTTTGCGAGGCATTGGAAAACATCCCTGGTCTTGCTGGTTGAATCTGTGTTTGAAATTCACTGCTCTACTGAGGGACCTTTACGTGTGTGGTGTGTGTGTGTGTGTACTGAGATGAGGTAGTCATTAAAAAATCATGTTAAACACTATTATTGAACACAGTGCGAGTCCATGCTTATGTGAATTTTAAGCACATTTTTCCTCCTGAACTTATTTTTGGCTCGGCATAAAGGGCGTTGAATACTTATTGACTCAAGACATTTCAGCTTTTCATTTGTTATTAATTAGTAAAAAATTTGAAAAACATAATTCCACTTCGATATTATGGGTAATTGTGTCTAGGCCAATGACAAAAAATCTTAATTTAATGGTGTGAATACTTTCTGAAGGCACTGTATATGATTTATGCCTAGGTACTCTCAATAATACATCTTTCCTGTCCAATTTTTGGATATCCTCACTCTGGCTGGATTCCAATAGGAATTACACATTACATTGCATGCTAGCAAAATGTCACTTGCAGTCTTGATTTGGCCTGTAAACCAGGAGTTTCAGACCACTGTGTTAGGGTGTAACTAGGCCTTAAAAGAAAGGCCTCATGGTAATGTATTAATTGTATGTTCACTCAACCTAAAATTAAAAGTTGAGTGAACATATACAGTGAGCTCCATAATTCATTGGACAGTGACATACTCTAGCACTTTGAGTTTGAAAGGATACAGTGACAATGAGGGTGAAGTGCAGACTGTCAGCTTTAATTTGAGGGTATTTGCATACATATCGGATGAATCGTTTAGAAATTATAGAAGCTTTTGTACATGGTCCCCCCCATTTTCGGGCATCAAAAAACATTGGACAGTTTAACATAATATAGAATAAAGTAATCATTGTTAATATTTGGTCGCATATCCTTTGCATGCAATGACTGCTTGAAGTCTGCGACGCATCGACATCACCAGACACTGGGTATCTTCCCTGGTGATGCTCTGCCAGGCCTGTACTGCAGCCATCTTCAGTTTCTGCTTGTTTCGGGGACTTATTGCCTTCAGTCTCCTCTTCAGCATGTAAAATGCATGTTCAATTGGATTCAGATCTCGGCCAGTCAAGGATTTTCCACTTTTTGGCCATAAAAAACCCCTTCGTTGCTCTAGCAGTATGTTTAGGGTCATTGCATGATGAAGTGCCGTCCAATGAGTTGGGAGGCATTTGGTTTTATCTGAGCAGATAAAATATTTCTGTAGACTTCAGAGTTCATTGTTCTACTTCTGTCTGCAGTGACATCATCGATGAAGACAAGTGAGCCTGTTCCACTGGCAGCCATACAGGCCCAAGCCATAACACCCCCTCCACCATGTTTCAGGGATGAGGTGGTATGCTTTGGATCATGGGCATTTCTTTTTTTTCTCCACATTTTCCTCTTTCCATCACTCTGGTACATGTTAATCTTTGTCTCATCTGTCCACAATACTTTTTTTCAGAACTATTGGGGCTCTTTTAGGTGCTTTTTAACTGTAATCTTTCCTTTCTGTTCTTCAGGCTTATTAGTGGTTTGCATCTTGTAGTGTACCCTCTGTAGTCCTGCTGGTGTAGTCTTCTACGTATGGTAGACTTTGACACATCTACACCTGCATCCAGGAGAGTGTTTTTGATCTGTTGGGCTGTTGTCAGGGGGGTTTTCTTCACCATAGAGAGTATTCTCCGGTCATCCACTACAGTGGTCTTCCTCGGTCTACTGGGTCTTTTGACATAATTGAGTTCACTGGTTGTTTTTTTCTTGTTAGCGATGAACCAAGCTGTTGACTTGGGCATGGCCAGGGTTTTTGCAATGTTCCTGATTGATTGATTTTCATTTCTGAGCCTTATGACGGCCAGCTTAATTTGCATCGACACTGCTGTCTTCCTCATGTTGTCACACCCCAACAACAACCTCCAAAGGCAATAGCAAAGTCTAGAATCAATACTATTCATCAATAGCTCTCCTGCATTCACTAACGACACAAATGAATACACCTGCCTAACGACACCTGTGAAGCCAATTTAACAAATACTTGTAGTACCTTAAAATGGGGGGGGACCATGTACAAAAGGTGCTGTCATTTCTAAACGGTTCAGCCGATATGTATGAAAATACCCTCAAATTAAAGCTGACAGTCTGCACTTCACCCTCATTGTATCCGTTCAAACTCAAAGTGCTAGAGTACAGAACCAAAATAACAAAAAAATGGTCACTGTCCAATGAATTATGGCCCTCACTGTAATTCAACTTGAGAATGAGGCCTGTGTTGGTTCAGCTATATGCCCAAATATTGAGCGAACTCACAAACCTATTGCATCTGGTTGCCTTACAATTGTACATTGAATCAACATCTCCCCCCCCCCCCCCCCCCCCACACATTTATTTTTATTTTTTACTGTGTAGGCCTAACTTATAAATGCCTCATGAGTTTAGTACAACTTCCTTAACCTATCCAAACCTAAACCTTTCCATTGTTTATGTTTTTGTCATCATTTGAGTCTACACTGCATGCGGGGGCGAGCATTGTGTGACCACAAAGCCTCTCTATTCTCTGAAATAGCCCTATGTCTATTGTTAACAAGCTAACCTTGCAAACAACTGTTTAGCCCTAGCTACAATACGTAATGATGTCTGGCAACGCAAGAATAACAAGCTTAACACTGTTCTTCTCCCAGGTGTACTGTGTGGACAATGAGGAGCCGACGGGTTCCCTACTGGAGTTCCTGGTACCCAAGGACCTGGCTGACGGCTTCGTAAACAACAAGAAGGAGACCTACAAGTTCAGGTGAGCATCTGGCAAACACGCATCACATGCATCATGGGTCATGGCATTTCTATTGTCATTAGGCTTAGAACCTAAATGCTCAGACACATTACTACGACGAACGAACAGGTAAAAGCAGCGGATGGCTGCTATCCTGTCGCTTGCAGTAGCTGCGGAAGAAGAGTTTGTTTATTCACCAGTCACATAACACTGATTTCTTACTATACAGTGTATCAAGGGACACCTATCTGTTTAAGCATAGTACATTTGTAGGGGCTTAGGTTATGACTTTCAACACTTTTTCTACCACAGCGATATGCTCTAAGTTGAATGAAAATGCACTTTAGCCGACACTGGTATATGGTTGTCACTGTATGGTCATGCTGGGAAGGATCACCCCCCCCCTAAAAAAAATGATTTAACCACTAGCTCTAACCCTACCCCTGCGTTTAAGCCTAACTCTAAATAGCAGCATCTGAGTACCTCCCCGACCCTTCACTGAATGCAACAACAACAAAAATTGGTCCGTCAGATTGGTCCAGAAAAGGATGGTTTGGCTTTGATACTCTGATTGGTTAGAGACGACCCAATCGCTAGTTAATTTGTTTTGTAAAACTCCCCTTGTCACCACAAACAACTTTAGTTATGGCAGTCTCAGACTAAAGTATGTAGTGAACGACAGAGCAGTGGAATAATTTAGTACAGGCAACAAAAGCATAGCCCTACTGCTCTTTTCACATAGGCCCATGTAATGGCAAAGATACAATGTCTGGTTCACTCTGGCGGTGAAGGCTGCTGTCCTTATAATACAGGGCATAGCCCTTCATGCCACGCTTCCAAGCCCTCAATTCACAGTTCTGGAGTCAGCCAAGGCTATTGAGAGGCCTCTTAACCACAACAGCTTTTTAATAGATTGCGGAAGTTCCCTTGCGCCTGTTGAAATAAAATTCCACATGGATGAGCATAAAGGGCGGACTGCTCCCGATAGATCTTTCCATGGACATTATTTGGGGTGTGGCTGGCTTTGAAGATGACTCTGCCTAACTATGGCCAAGGAAATAATTTAAAGGGGCAAACGAGATTGTTACATCGATTTTGGGACTTTTATATCAGTAATATGTTTATTCTTGAAGGACATAACTTATAAATACACTGTATGTAGAAAGGTATGTGGACACCCCTTCAAATTAGTGGATTTGGCTATTTCAGCCACAGCCGTTGCTGACGGGTGTATAAAATTTAGCACACAGCCATGCAATCTCCATAGACAAACATTGGCAGTAGAATGGCCTTACTCAAGAGCTCAGTGACTTTCAACGTGGGACTGTCATAGGATGGCATCTTTCCAGCAAGTCAGTTGGTCATATTTCTGCCCTGCTAGAGCTGCCCCGGTCAACTGTAAGTGCTGTTTTTGTGAAGTGGAAACGTCTAGGAGCAACAACGGCTCAGCTGCGAAGTGGTAGCCCCACACAAGGTCACAGAATGGAACTGCTGAGTTCTGAAGAGTGTAGCGCGTAAAAATAGTCTGTTCCCGGTTGCAACACTCACTACCGAGTTCCAAACTGCCTCTGGAAGCAACGTCAGCACAAGAGCTGTTCGTCGGGAGCTTCATGAAATGGGTTTCCATGTCCGAGCAGACGCACACAAGCCTAAGATCACCATGCGCAATGCCAAGCGTCGGCTGGAGTGGTGTAAAGCTCGCCTCCATTGGACTCTGGAGCAGTGGAAACGCGTTGTTTAGAGTGATGAATCACACTTCACCGTCTGGCAGTCCGACGGAGGAATCTGGGTTTGGCGGATGCCAGGAGAACGCTACCTGCCCGAATGCATAGTGCCAACTGTAAAGTTTGGTGGAGGAGGAATATTGGTCTGGGGCTGTTTGTAATGGTTCGGGCTAGGCCCCTTAGTTCCAGTGAAGGGAAATCTTATTGCTACAGCATACAATGACATTCTAGACGATTCTGTGCTTCCAACTTTGTGGCAACAGTTTTTTGGGAAGGCCCTTTCCTGTTTCAGCATGACAATGCCCCCATGCTCAAAGCGAGGTCCATACAGAAATGGTTTGTCGAGATCGGTGTGGAAGAACTTGGCTGGCCTGCACAGAGCCCTGACCTCAACCCCATTGAACACCTTTGGGATGAATTGGAACGCCGACTGCGAGCCAGGCCTAATCGCCCAACATCAGTGCCCGACCTCACTAATGCTCGTGGCTGAATGGAAGCAAGTCCCCACAGCAATGTTCCAACATCTAGTGGAAAGCCTTCCCAGAAGAGTGGAGGCTGTTATAGCAGTAAAGGGGGCACCAACTCCACATGTAATGCCCATGATTTTGTTCGATGAGCAGGTGTCCACATACTGTAAGTAATACCTCGAGCTTACTTCAACTGTATAGCCTCAAATCATGATTACAATTATAATTTTGATCTCATGGATGGTCAGTTCTTGCATTCTTAGCTCACTCTATGAATTTGAGTGGTTACATTTCTCTATCCCCATCCCTCTTGGGTTTAGTTAATAAGATCTTATATTCGTATCAAAATCATTTTTTTGCTCGTCCTTTGTATTGGCCTACTGGAGATCATGGGCTGGTTTCCTGGACTCCGATTTTAAGACTATATTTGGACTAAAAAGCGTGCTTAGAAGAGAATCTCTACCGAACATTATTTTCAGTCCAGTATGTAACCTATGTCCTGGGAATCCGGTCCAACGTGTTAATGTACTGCTGTGTATAGAAGTGATGATTTCTCCTCTATATTTAAAGTGCAGTGTGGTAACTCCTTTATTTTCCCACTTCCCTTCAGGTTCCAAGAGGTGTTTGATCAAACAGTCAAACAAGAGGACATCTTTGAAGCAATCGCCAAGCCAGTGGCAGACAGGTGAGACACCCTTAAACTTGTTTTAAACTTCAACGGTAGAATGAGTCTTTGTTTAATGTTTAATTGTAATTTGATGCTAACCATTTTAACAAGCTACTGTGTTGGATATCTGTCTGTCTCAAAGGTAGACCTAATAACTGGACGACCAAAACAAAACTACCAACAATTGTAGGCAGGCACTGTTTTGGCAGTGTGAATCCCTATTGGGGTTTTTCAACACAAGTAAAGTTGCTTTCTCCATTGTCTGTGGTCCATTCTATTCTAAACTGTGCTGCCCATCAAGATTACTACTACCAAATACTTATAGATACAGGTGAGATATTTAAGGTGGGCCTAACTTCTCCACCAAGAGAAAGAGGTTGAAAACCAAAATAGCCACTAATGACAGATCTAGGACCAGCTTACTTTACCTCAAACCCTAAAAGGTGAAAGGAAAACTGATCTTGAGACAGTGCTCGGGAACAATGTTCACCTACACACCATTCGTTCACCCCTAGGGCCTCTGTTCAATGTTGCAGCAAGGCCCGGACCACACAGACTTCGCCAGGCATGTTGACGGGAAGCTCGTCACTCTGACAATAAGCTGAGCTAGCGCAAAGATGGAAATGAAGGGAGGCTGTGATTTTTGGCCCAATCACGACTCCCAAACCATTAAGTGGAGAGCTGGCAGATGGGGGGGCACACGCTGCTATCCTGTGCATGCGAGAAGCCTCTCGCCGCAATGCAGCGGGTATCCTTCGTCGAAGCTCATCATAATTTTTGCTCTGCTGTATGTAGAGTTCCTATTTGTTGGGCCACCCCTCCCTAATTTCCACATGACACACTTCTAGTGCTCTTCAGTAGTATTTGTGGCTAGGGTTGCAAAGGGAGGGTATATTATTGGAAATGTTCTAAGTTTACCAGTAAACTACCAGAATTTTGGTATCTTTCAAGGATTTTATGTATCTATCACAATACATCTAGTGGCCCTTTTGGGTACTTAAGATTATCACAGGTGTCTGTAATTATCTCTGGCCCTCTGTGTGGCCTTATCACATGTAAAATATAATAAATAATTAAAGTGGATCTGACAGTGTTTTAGCAACAAGAAATCTTATTAAAATATGTTCATATACACCCCCAGGAAGAATATGACACATAAAAAGCCAGCGCTTAGATATGGTCATTTTCATGTTTTCATAGAATGTCTGAGAATGACGTATAGTAATGGATTTGTGAAAATTCTATAGCAATATAGAGTGGGAAAGCGGCCGTGCGTTTGGACAATTTAATAGACACTGAAGTAAATATAACGTTCTAAAAACATATTTCTTGTCCAGGACCGGAGTCTACGCAAACCGATGCGCCATAGGGAACTTAGAAAGGAAAACGCTGCACACTACTGCTCATGCTCCCAGGTGATTTTATTTATAACAATGTTTCAACCCTTAGGTCTTCATCAGGCATCCATAAGACCTAAAGGTCGAAACGTTATAAATAAAATCACCTGAGAGCATGAGCAGCGGTGTGCAGCGTTTTTCTTTCTGTTTTCTATGAGTTTGCCTACAACTCCAGCACCTGCGGAAAGTACCTGGATGTGCGTATGTTCTTCAGCTTTTGGCCATAGGGAACTTGCCTGCCTGCCCGCCTATTTGATTGATGCCAAATACATTTGATTGACAACTAAGAGATATGCCAACTGTGGATAAGTCATTCAAGTTCAGCATAGCTAGCAAAGTGATTCGCGTTTCTAGCTCGCTAACCAAATGATCTCTAGCTGTAGCCACTGAAAAATGATATGAAGGGAAAAAGCCGGTCACTCACCCACTCCTCCAATGACATGACATCCTTCCAGCAGCTATCTAGCTAACGTTAGGCCCCATATTCTTAGCTTGCTATATAAATAGCTAGCTACATAAATTAGATATGCTAGCCCATGGGTGTCAAACTCAATCAGTGCACGGGCCATATTGAAAAAACACAATGAATTCACAGGCTAGATATAGCTTATTTGTTTTTACAAAAAATTTGCAACTGCGACCCAAATTGGCCTTTGTTTATAAGAAAAAATATGGCCATTTGTAATGTCCACTTATGTACATAGGATGCTGTATATAGCATTTTAATATATTAAAACAAAAGAGATAAATAATATTTGTCCAGCCTTTGCAGCTATGCTTGCATAATATGCTGCGACCCTAATCAAAAAGTATTTAATTACTCCAAATAACAAAAACTTAGCTATGGGGGGGGGGGGGGGGGGGGGAAATGATAAAGAAGGAAAATGTATTTTAAAATCTACGCACAATACCCCATAAGGATAAAGCAAAAACAGGTTTTTAGAAATGTTTGCAGAAGTATTAAAAATCTAAAACATATAACATTTACATAAGTATTCAGACCCTTTACTCAGTACTTTGTTGAAGCACCTTTGGCAGTGTCTTCTTGGGTTTGACGCTACAAGCTTGGCACACCTGTATTTGGGGAGTTTCTCCCATTCTTCTCTGCAGATCCTCTCAAGCTCTGTCAGGTTGGATGGAGAGTGTCGCTGCACAGCTATTTTCAGGTCTCTCCAGAGATGTTTGATCGGGTTCAAGTCCAGGCTCTGGCTGGGCCACTCAAGGACATTTAGAGACTTGTCCCGATGCCACTCCTGCATTGTCTTGGCTGTGTGCTTAGGGTTGTTGTCCTGTTGGAAGGTGAACCTTTGCCCCCAGTCTGAGATCCTGAGCGCTCTGGAGCAGGTTTTCATCAAGGATCTCTCTTTACTTTGCTCCGTTCATCTTTCCCTTGATCCTGACTAGTCTCCCAGTCCCTGTCGCTGAAAAACATCCCCACACCATGCTTCACCGTAGAGTTGGTATTGGCCAGGTGATGATCGGTGCCTGGTTTCCTGCAGACGTGACACTTGGCATTCAGGCCAAAGAGTTCAATCTTGGTTTCGTCAGACCAGAGAATCTTGTTTCTCATGGATTGAGAGTCGTTTAGGTGCCTTTTCTCCTATGGATGGTATTTTGTTGCAGGTTTAGTTTTTTTGGTTATTCATTGTCAAGCTTTAAAAACTGAAGCCAGACTGCCACATTTTAGTAGCCTAGCTAGGACTGTGGCATGTGTCTGTTTGTACACTTTCCCTCTGCTGCGCGCTGTAAACGGGACACACGAAAGCAGCGCAATTGAAATTGAATTCACCAATGCGTGCGCATCAGGCAGTAATTTCATGAAGTAGATGACTCAACTGTTGACTCATTTATACTCGCTTGTGTGTCCTATTTGGCGTGTGGGCTTTGTTTGACACATTTGCTAGCCTATTAGCCATGTTATGACGGACTTGTGATTATTGCCCTTGCTAGTTTGATTGTATTGACATTCCCGGCCTTAGTTACAGTCGTCTGACTACCAACAAATGTATCGGTGAATTATATTAATCATTAATTGATCTGCATCCATCTATTATTTTGGTAACAATGCCATACTGTACGTCATGGAATTTTAAGTGAATTAGAACCTATTTTTAAAACCTCTCGAAAGTTGGTTTTGAAGCATAAACTGGGAATTTGATACAGTATTGATTATGATTCTGTTTCATATCTGCAAAGTAGTTAAAAACGCTGTCAGTTCCACTTTAAATACGATGATTTTCAAATTGAAAATATAATGACAAAGCTATAAAACGCTATCCTAAATATCAACCATCAAGTGAATATCATCGTTGTTTAATATGAGGGTTTCAGCATGAAATATCCTGTATTTTCTTTTACACACTTGTATTTATTTTACTACGTCAATATGTATTTGTTGTCAATGTTTTTGCGTCAAACTTGTGGCAGTTGTGAAAAAGTCAATAGTTGGACGAGTTGCTGAGGTAATTGAAGATAATAAACGTCTTAAGAGTGCTGATCTAGGATCACGTCCCCCCCATCCTGTCCATATAATCTTATTCATTGTGATCTAAAAAGCAAAACTGATCCTAAATCAGCAGTCTTACTCTGAGACCCGTTGATACATATGACCCCTGGTTAAAAATAAACATATTACTCATTGTTTCTCATTGTTTCAAGTCCTCAGCCCCACCCCTCAGAAGGAATAGCAAAGCCTATGATTACCGTGACAATGAATCGCGAGTGACAAGGACCTTGTGGTGCGGGAATCAAACCCAGGTCTTGGGGTTGCGTACATGTGTAACGAGACCAGTACTAGACCATGGGGTCTTGCCGGAAGGGTTTCTTGTATGTCTGCACTGAGTGTTGATGTTGATCGAGTCTGTCGTTGTTTGAAGGTCAGTGTGACATTTGCAAGGACCTGTGAACAATGTGTTTAATTGTGGCTTTAAGTGGGACAGCCAGCACAGCCAGATATGTCTGTTTTGCTCTAAGGCCATCAGTGAATGTTCCCAGAGGATCCCACTTCTTCCACCAAATGCCTTTTTTTATACCATCTGAGCATCATTTGGTGGATAGGCGCAACAAGTTGAGGATGTAGGCTACAAGGATGTAGGCCAGTGGTCACCAACCGGTCGATCGCAATCGACTGGTCGATCTCCAAGGCATTCCTAGTCGATAACCAAACATTTCTGTAAAAAATACGATGAAGCCTTCCGTTCCTATATATTTTTTTGTTTCACGCTGTTGGCGGTAGGTGCACTTGATTCAGCAACCCAAGCACCGAGGTAGAACTCTGCTTACCCGGCAGGCCCAGATATCAAATCAAGTGCACTTATAGGACTACCGCTGGCCAATCAGAGAACTCAAATCACAGTGTCTACACAGTTTCATCACGCTATTGAAAAAAGAAAAGAAGCCTAGAGCGGACACAAGTTGATAATGTGATATTTTAAAACCATGACTAGAGAGAGACTAAACGAATGCAGCAAAGAGCTGAATCAAGCTAGTCGTCTTGACTTCTTTCTTATCTCATTCTCGTTGGCACCAAAAGTAAAAAAAAAAAAGTGTTGATAGGGGACAGAATGCGGTCGGACCATCATATAATTGGCATATACGTTACTCTTACTGAATTTCAACGTGGGCGAGGATATTGGAAATTCAATCAAAGCCTATTGGATGATAATTTATTTATAATTAGAACAAAGGAATTTATAACTGACTTTTTACGACATAACATAGGTACAGCGAATCCCCTTATTGTATGGGACACCTTTAAATGTGCCTTTTAGAGGTCATGCAATTCAGTACTCATCTCTAAAACAAAAGCAATTTAGGTAAAAATAGTTTATACTAACAAAGGAAATAGAAAGTCTAACAGAACAGATAGATGGCAATAAAAACTGTAACATAGAGGCTCAGAATAAATTAGAGGAAAAACAAAAAGAAATGGAGAAACTTATTCAAGAAAGATCAAGTGTAATATATTATAAAATAAAGCAAACTGGATGGAATATGGGGAAAAATGCACCAAATTCTTCAACATAGGAATGCTACCAAAAAGAACTTAATGAAACTGGTTACAATTGACGGAGTCACCCATGATTCACCAAATTATATTTTGAAGGAGGAAACAAAGTACTTTAAGCATATGTTTTCTTTTCAGTCGCCTCCATCTCCTCTAACTGAAGCTAATTGTAGAGATTTTTTTTCTATTGATAATGTAAAATTAACAGCCATACAGAAAAACTCATGTGAAAGTGAAATTACAGAGGAGGAACTTCTGGATGCAGTTAAAGACTTTAAGTCTGGGAAAACTCCATGGTTGGATGGCATACCAGTCGAGGTATACCAAACCTTTTTTGATATACTAAGAGGACCGTTATTAGCATGTTTTAACCACTCCTATGTAAATGGTAGATTATCTGAAACTCAAGAAGAAGGTCTGATCTCATTATTACTGAAACAGGATACAAGTGGAAAATATAAAGATTCCAGTCCATTAAAAAAATTGGAGGCCCCTTACACTTCAGTGTTGTGATGCAAATTCTAGCAAAATATATAGCGCATAGAATTAAAAAGGTATTGTCGGATATTATTTATTCTAATCAGACAGGTGTTTTTACATGGAAGATACTTTGGAGATAATATAAGGCAAGTATTGGAAACAATAGAACACTATGGAAAATATGGGAAACCAGGCCTGCTATTCATAGCAGACTTCCGAAAAGGCATTTGATAAAGTACGACTGGGGTTTATATATAAATGCCTGGAGCATTTCAATTTTGGAGAATCTCTTATAAAATGGGTCAAAATCATGTATAGTAACCCTAGGTGTAAAATAGTAAATAATGGCTATTTCTCCAAAAGTTTTAAACTGTCAAGAGGAGTGAAACAAGGTTGTCCACTATCGGCATATCTATTTATTGTGGCCATCGAGATGTTAGCTATTAAAATCAGATCCAATAATAATGTCAGAGGATTAGAAATCCAGGGCTTAAAAACAAAGGTGTCATTGTACGCTGATGATTCATGTTTTCTTTTAAATCCACAACTAGAATCCCTCCACAGCCTCATAGAGGATCTAGATACATTTTCTAACCTCTCTGGATTACAACCAAATTATGACAAATGTACTATATTACATATTGGATCACTAATAAATAAAAATTTTACATTACCATGTAGTTTACCAATAAAATGGTCTGATGGTGATGTGGATATACTCGGAATACATATCCCAAAGGAAATAAATGATCTCACTTCAATACATTTTAATAGAAAGTTAGCAAAAATAGATAAGGTCTTGCTACCATGGAAAGGTAAATACCTGTCAATTTGTGGAAAAATCACCCTGATTTAACTCTTTATTATTATCCCAGTTTACCTATTTGCTTATGTTCTTGCCTACGCCTAGCGAACAGTTTTTTAAATTATATGAGAAAAATATATTTAAAAAAATGTGGGAACGGCAAGCCAGACACAATTAAAAGGGCCTATTTATATAATGAATATGAATTCGGAGGACAGAAATTATTAAATATTAAAGCATTAGACCTATCACTAAAAGATTCAGTCATACATTTACATTACATTTACATTTACGTCATTTAGCAGACGCTCTTATCCAGAGCGACTTCCAGGAGCAATTAGGGTTAAGTGCCTTGCTTAAGGGCACATCGACAGATTTTTCACCTAGTCGGCTCGGGGATTAGAACCAGCGACGTTTCGGTTACTGGCACAACGCTCTTACCCACTAAGCTACCTGTTTAGTTATACTTAAATCCGAACTGGTTCTCAAGCAAATTTGTAAGATTGTCTCACCCAATGTTCAAGAAAGGCCTTTTTCCCTTTATTCAGATTACAACAACTCATTTTCAGTTATTTGAAAAGGAAATCATCTCCCAAATGTCACTATTTGTAAAACAAGCCATAGAAAGTTGGTTGCAATTTAATCCTCCAGAAACGACAGAACAAATAATGCAACAAATATTGTGGTACTAATTGACAAAAAAACTTTATTTTTTGACAATGTTTAAAAAAGGTATAATCTTCGTAAATGATATCATCGGTAGGACTGGTGGAGTTATGTCGCACATGCAGCTAACAAAAACATATGGAAATGTCTGCTCTACCCAAAATTACAACCAAATAATTGCAGCCTTACTGCAAAAGTGGAAGAGGAAAGTGGAAGGGGTGAGATGTCTGGGTTGACTCGGCCGTGCATTAAAGAACATAATTGGTTAAGGAAAACTGTGATAAATAAAAAAGTATATCAGTTTCACTTAAGGACCAAAGGATTGACAGCCGTCCCATATAGATTGCAAAATAGTTGGGAAGAGATTTTTTATGTACCGATCCCATGGCATAGTGTTTATGAACTGACACGCAAAATGACACCGGATTCAAAAATTATTATATAAAATTCTTGCTACCAATAGAATGTTATTTATATGGGGGATACAATCTTCCCAGCTCTGCAGATTTAGCTGTGAAGAGACAGAATCATTAGATCATTTGTTTTGGTTCTGTCCATTTGTAGCTTGTTTTTGGTCACAGGTCCAGGAATGGCTAAAGGATTGCAATATTTACCTGGAGCTAACCTTGCAGATAGCATTACTGGGTGATCTGAAAAGTCATAGTCAATCGATCAATAATATAATAATACTTTTAGCAAAAATGTTTATTTTTAATTCATAATCTGTAGAAGCAATGAGAATAGAAAGGTTCAGAACTTTGTAAAACATCACAGTACGGTTGAAATATATATGGCAAATAGAAATCCTATATGGATGGTGTTAAGAGATAGATGGGAGGTATTGAATGGAGTTGAAGGATGGGACTAATAACAACAAATAATAACAAGATAACTAATAATGTAAGCATACTGTGTCCATAATAAGTACATTGCTCAAAAAAATAAAGGGAACACTTAAACAACACATCCTAGATCTGAATGAATGAGATAATCTTATTAAATACTTTTTTCTTTACATAGTTGAATGTGCTGACAACAAAATCACACAAAAATTATCAATGGAAATCAAATTTATCAACCCATGGAGGTCTGGATTTGGAGTCACCTTCAAAATTAAAGTGGAAAACCACACTACAGGCTGATCCAACTTTGATGTAATGTCCTTAAAACAAGTCAAAATGAGGCTCAGTAGTGTGTGTGGCCTCCACGTGCCTGTATGACCTCCCTACAACGCCTGGGCATGCTCCTGATGAGGTGGCGGATGGTCTCCTGAGGGATCTCCTCCCAGACCTGGATTAAAGCATCCGCCAATTCCTGGACAGTCTGTGGTGCAACGTGGCGTTGGTGGATGGAGCAAGACATGATGTCCCAGATGTGCTCAATTGGATTCAGGTCTGGGGAAGGGGCGGTCCATAGCATCAATGCCTTCCTCTTGCAGGAACTGCTGACACACTCCAGCCACATGAGGTCTAGCATTGTCTTGCATTAGGAGGAACCCAGGGCCAACTGCACCAGCATATGGTCTCACAAGGGGTCTGAGGATCTCATCTCGGTACCTAATGGCAGTCAGGCTACCTCTGGCGAGCACATGGAGGGCTGTGCGGCCCCCCAAAGAAATGCCACCCCACACCATGACTGACCCACGGCCAAACCGGTCATGCTGGAGGATGTTGCAGGTAGCAGAACGTTCTCCACAGCGTCTCCAGACTCTGTCACGTCTGTCACATGTGCTCAGTGTGAACCTGCTTTCATCTGTGAAGAGCACAGGGCGACAGTGGCGAATTTGCCAATCTTGGTGTTCTCTGGCAAATGCCAAACGTCCTGCACGGTGTTGGGCTGTAAGCACAACCCCCACCTGTGGACGTCGGGCCCTCATACCACCCTGTTTCTGACCGTTTGAGCAGACACATGCACATTTGTGGCCTGCGGGAGGTCATTTTGCAGGGCTCTGGCAGTGCTCCTCCTGCTCATTCTTGCACAAAGGCGGAGGTAGCGGTCCTGCTGCTGGGTTGTTGCCCTCCTACGGCCTCCTCCACGTCTCCTGATGTACTGGCCTGTCTCCTGGTAGCGCCTCCATGCTCTGGACACTACGCTGACAGACACAGCAAACCTTCTTGCCACAGCTCGCATTGATGTGCCATCCTGGATGAGCTGCACTACCTGAGCCACTTGTGTGGGTTGTAGACTCCGTCTCATGCTACCACTAGAGTGAAAGCACCGCCAGCATTCAAAAGTGACCAAAACATCAGCCAGGAAGCATAGGATCTGAGAAGTGGTCTGTGGTCACCACCTGCAGAACCACTTCTTTATTGGGGGTGTCTTGCTAATTGCCTATAATTTCCACCTGTTGTCTATTCCATTTGCACAACAGCATGTGACATTTATTGTCAATCAGTGTTGCTTCCTAAGTGGACAGTTTGATTTCACAGAAGTGTGATTGACTTGGAGTTACATTGTGTTGTTTAAGTGTTCCCTTTATTTTTTTGAGCAGTGTATATAGGTTGTATTTTGGGAGCTTTTGGGAAAGGGCACAGTTAGAAAGATATGGCATATAGAAGCAAACCGGATGGACATCATAAACATGATCGGAGAGGTTGAGAGTAGAAGAAGTTCAGGAGCAAAAACAAATAAAATATAATTATTGTAAAATTGACTGTGTCCATAAGGTGTAGATAGTAATTATAGGCTGAAAGTAGAGGCCTGGGCATTGTTGTTCACTAATTTACCCCAAGTAGGGAAAGGATGGCGGGGTTGAAAAGTAATAAAGGGGAGTATATATTAAAAAAACATGGGGGATTGGAAGTGATGCAGACAATTACATTGATAGAAGTTACAATCTATCTGCAATATTAAGCTGATCTACCCCCATAAAAAATAATAAAAAAATGCTGTTTTTATGTGTAAGTTAATGTTTAAGTCGTTATTCATCATTGTCAACACTTTTTTCAACACTTTTATAAGCCATAAAATGCATGTTCTCCCTACTTTCACTCACGCTACAACCAGCACTGCAGCTGCAATGAATGAGTATAGCAAAGTGTTTTGTTAAGCTTGTATTGTTATTATTATTATTGGTGCATGAGGCAGAAATAATGCATATTGTTTTGCCATCAGCTGGAAGACTGTGTCCCCTTTTCTCAGCGGAGGGAGGGAGAGAGAAGGCACGGTGAGTCGGGTGAGAGACCACTGCTCGCTCCCTCCCCTCAGACTGACCATCAGATGCAGGTCTTCAGTCCAGTAAAAAATAGCAAATTATAATGCTCACTCAGCTGTGCCTCACAAGTGATACAACAAATGATCGATTACCAGTGTGATCATCTATCATTTAAAAAATATACGTACACTACCGTTCAAAAGTTTGGGGTCACTAAGAAATGTCCTTGTTTTTGAAAGAAAAGCAATTTTCTTGTCCATTAAAATAACATAAAATTGATCAGAAATACAGTGTAGACATTGTTAATGTTGTAAATGGCTATTGTAGCTGGAAACGGCTGATTTTTAATGGAATATCTACATAGGTGTACAGAGGCCCATTATCAGCAACCATCAGTCCTGTGTTCCAATGGCACGTTGTGTTTGCTAATCCAAGTTTATCATTTTAAAACGCTAATTGATCATTAGAAAACCCTTTTACAATTATGTTAGCACATCTGAAAACTGCTGTGGTGATTAAAGAAGCAAGAAAACTGGCCTTCTTGAGACTAGTTGAGTATCTGGAGCATCGATTACAGGCTCAAAATGGCCAGAAACAAATAACTTTCTTCTGAAACTCGTCAGTCTATTCTTGTTCTGAGAAATGAAGGCTATTCCATGTGAGAAATTGCCAAGAAACTGAAGATCTTGTACAACGCTGTGTACTACTCCCTTCACAGAACAGCGCAAACTGGCTCTAACCAGAATAGAAAGAGGAGTGGGAGGCCCCGGTGCACAACTGACCAAGAGGTAGAATACATTAGTGTCTTGTATGAGAAACAGGCGCCTCACAGGTTCTCAACTGGCAGTTTCATTAAATTGTACCCGCAAAACACCAGTCTCAACGTCAACAGTGAAGTGGCAACTCCGGGATGCTGACCTTCTAGGCAGAGTTGCAAAGAAAAAGCCATATAAAAATAAATATAAAATTGAAAAAATTGAAAACAAGGACATTTCTACGTGACCCCAAATTTTTGAACGGTAGTGTGTGTGTGTGTGTGTGTATGTATAGATAGCGATATATATATATATATATATATATATATGTCTATATCTCAACATGCTCTGAGAAGAACAACATTGGCAGGGCAATTCAAGCGTAGCCAATAAATATATTGGGCCTATTTAGCCTAGTGCACAAACCTCAACATGAACCAATTAACCTGTTTAATTGATTAATGTTGCTTAGGCTTACATTTTTAATAATAATAATAATAATATGCCATTTAGCAGACGCTTTTTTCCAAAGCGACTTACAGTCATGCATGCATACATTTTTGTGTATGGGTGGTCTCGGGGATCGAACCCACTACCTTGGCGTTACAAGCGCCGTGCTCTACCAGCTGAGCTACAGAGGACCACAAATCATGTTTAAAAACAATTCAGAGCGGTAGATCTCGGCTTGCATTTGGACTCAAAGTGATCTTGACTCAGAAAAGGTTGGCGACCACGGATGTAGGTTAGCCTATTCGATAACAGGCTTGTTTTCATATGATAAATGTTACATTTTGGGAATCGGACAATTAGATTCTTATCAATGACTCACATAGGTCTATTTAATTGATGTCACACTTAGTGGTCAAATCAGCAGAATTAACACTGATATAAACTGTTGTTATTCTTATCATTGTCAATCTCTCAGTTCAAGTATTTTCAAACTTGGCAGAGGTAGGCTACTCTTCTTACATGGTGTCTCAGAGAGTTTTACCCTTGGCCTAAGGTTAGACTAATTCAGGGTTTGCTCCCAAAGGGAGAAAGGCAATAACAACGGCATTTACTTGGAATTTCCTGCGATCAAATGTCTTGAAGTTGTTATCTGAATGTTTCTCTCTCCTCATTTCTCCACCCCTACCATGCTCAATTTCTCTTTGTCTCCCCTGCACTCTGGTCCTAATTCCACCTCTTACTCATAATACGGGTATTTATGGAATCCACAAGTGCTTTGCATTATCGTCAGTATTAGGAGACATAAACAACACGGTGAGATGTCTGGGTTGACTCAGGGCTCAAATATATTTTTACCTGACTCAGACCATAGCCTTCTGTCTTCGGTTACCCTTCCATAGACCTCTGAACAGTTCTCCAATTGGTTCAGCAGGTCGTGAGACTTTGGCTTATCAAGACAAAAAGTCACTGGCATATAGATGCCAGCTTTAGGGCCAGGATGTGGCCCCATGTCATTGGGGGGCACTGATTCAAACGATGGGTTGTCTTTCTCCAATGTGAGATATTTCTTAGTCAGTTGCCTTGGGTATATTGGATTCGCATTTATTGTGATCTGATGGAATGTTCTAGATTCCTGAAGGTCTTAACCTTTTTAAATCCAGTCTCGCCAGTGGCTAAATCAGAGGTGTAAGTAGCCCTGTTGATGTTTTGCCCCCACTGGTGATGAATGGCGATGGAATGTATTCAAAAAAAGCTGACAATGTTATGGACACATGGAGGTAGTCAAATTCATTAGGTGTTGAAGAGCCATGAATGACACGACATAGGCGTTTTCTTACCTCATATGTACAGTTGAAGTCGGAAGTTTACATGCACCTTAGCCAAATACATTTAAACTCAGTTTTCACAATTACTGACATTTAACCTTGTAAAAAAACACCACTTTAAAAAAACACCACTTTATTTTAAGAATGTGAGGTGTCAGAATAATAGTAGAGAGAATGATTTATTTCAGCTTTTATTTCTTTCTTCACATTCCCAGTGGGTCAGAAGTTTACATACACTCATTTAGTATTTGGTAGCATTTCCTTTATATTGTTTAACTTGGGTCAAACGTTTCGGGTAGCCTTCCACAACCTTCCCACAATAATTTTGGGTGAATTTTGGCCCATTCCTCCTGACAGAGCTGGTGTAACTGAGTCAGGTTTGTAGGCCTCTTGCTCGCACACGCTTTTTCAGTTCTGCCCACTAATTTTCTATAGGATTGAGGTCAGGGCTTTGTGATGGCCACTCCAATACCTTGACTTTGTTGTCCTTAAGCCATTTTGCCACAACTTTGGAAGTATGCTTGGGGTCATTGACCATTTGGAAGACCCATTTGTGACCAAGCTTTAACTTCCTGACTGATGTCTTGATGTTGCTTCAATATATCCACATAATTTTCCTTCCTCATGATGCCATCTAAGTGCACCAGTCCCTCCTGCAGCAAAGCACTCCCACAGCATGATGCTGCCACCCACGTGCTTCACGGTTGGGATGGTGTTCTTCGGCTTGCAAGCGTCCCCCTTCTCCTCCAAACATAACGATGGTCATAATGGCCAAACAGTTCTATTTGTGTTTCATCAGACCAGAGGACATTTCTCCAAGAAGTATGATCTTTGTCCCCATGTGCAGTTGCAAATCGTAGTCTTTTTTATGGTGGTTTTGGAGCAGTGGCTTCTTCCTTGCTGAACGTTTTTTCAGGTTATGTCAATATAGGACTTGTTTTACTGTGGATATAGATACTTCTGTACCTGTTTCCTCCAGCATCTTCACAAGGTCCTTTACTGTTGTTCTGGGATTGATTTTTCACTTTTCGCACCAAAGTACTTTCATCTCTAGGAGACAGAACGCGTCTCCTTCCTGAGCGGTATTACGGCTGCGTGGTCCCATGGTGTTTATACATGCGTACTATTGTTTGTACAGATGAATGTGGTACCTTCAGGCGTTTGGAAATTGCTCCCAAGGATGAACCAGACTTGTGGAGGTCTACAATTTTTTTCTGAGGTCTTGACTGATTTCTTTTGATTTTCCCATGATGTCAAGCGAAGAGGCAATGAGTTTGAAGGTAGGCCTTGAGATACATCCACAGGTACACCTCCAATTGATTCAAAAAATGTCAATTAGCCTATCAGAAGCTTCTAAAGACATCATTTTCTGGAATTTTCCAAGCTGTTTAAAGGCACAGTCAACTTAGTGTATGTAAACTTCTGACCCACTGGAATTGTGATACAGTGAATTATAAGTGAAATAATCTGTCTGTTAACAATTGTTGGAAAAATTACTTGTCATGCAGTTTTAATGACTCCAACCTAAGTGTATGTAAACTTCCGACTTCAACTGTATCACATCTATATTTGGATGCATCAAGTCTAATTTCCAGACATGGTAGCCAAGGCTATTGCTGAGAAGAGTGTTTCTCTCTAGATTATTCTCTTACATGTAGCCCCCAAAATTTGTTTACATTAAATTGACAAAGGTCATTTTCAGGAAACAGTGCGGTGTAGCCAGGTCTAGTAGGAAATCGTTGACAGAATAAAAAGCAGCTGTTAGAACATCACACCCACAAGCCTATGCAATTCGACACCTAGCGTTTAATTTACTTTTCCACATCAAAAATGGTAATAGCTGTCAAGTTGTTATTTTTCGAAGTGCCCAGGCTGGAGCTGCGTTCTCTCTGTAGTTCATCCAAAAACCACTCATTTGAACACCAATCACTGTCTCCACTGAGATGTAACCAAAACCCACAGCGTTTACAGTCAAGCAACAGTAATGACACTAATGATAAAATACTTATTATGTTATCTTATTTATGCTGAGCTGGCAAGTCGACCTTAGTCTCACTCTCAGCACATTGTAACAAAAGTATCACTAGACTGCCCCTGTCCCGGGCAGGATAGCTACGGCGGCTTTCTCATGCAACCTGTTGCCTGTCCTTGGGAGAAGTGTGGAGGTGGAGTGGTAACGCTCTCCACCTGAGTAGTACCCCGGGGTTCAATCCCCACATCTACCCTTCCTACTGTTCTCCCACTTGCCGGTCTTCCCCTCTGTTTCTAACTTTCTACATTTACATTATTTAGCAGACGCTCTTATCCTAAATAAACATTAAATGTAAAAAGGAATATGTACACTACCGGTCAAAAGTTTTAGAACACCTACTCATTCAATGGTTTTTCTTTATTTTTACTATTTTCTACATTGTAGAATAATAGTGAAGACATCTAAACTATGAAATAACACATATGGAATCATGTAGCAACCAAAAAACTGTTAAACAAATATTTGAGTTTCTTCAAATAGCCACCCTTTGCCTTGATGACAGCTTTGCACACTCTTGGCATTCTCTCAACCAGCTTCACCTGGAATGCTTTTCCAACAGTGTTGAAGGAGTTCCCACATATGCTGAGCACTTGTTGGCTGCTTTTCCTTCACTCTGCGGTCCAACTCATCCCAAACCATCTCAATTTGGTTGAGGTCGGGTGATTGTGGAGGCCAGGTCATCTGATGCAGCACTCCATCACTCTCCTTCTTGGTAAAATAGCCCTTACACAGCCTGGAGGTGTGTTGGGTCATTGTCCTGTTGAAAAACAAATGATAGTCCCACGAAGCCCAAACCAGAAGGGATGGCGTATCGCTGCAGAACGCTGTGGTAGCCATGCGGGTTAAGTGTGCCTTGAATTCTAATTAAATCACAGACAGTGTCACCAGCAAAGCACCCCCACACCATCACACCTCCTCCTCCATGCGTTACGGTGGGAAAGTACACATGCGAGATCATCCGTTCACCCACACCTCGTTTTACAAAGACACAGCGGTTGGAACTAAAAATCTCCAATTTGGACTCCAGACGAAAGGACACATTTCCACCGGTCTAATGTCCATTACTCGTGTTTCTTGGCCCAAGCAAGTCTCTTCTTCTTATTGGTGTCCGAATTCGACCATGAAGGCCTGATTCACACAGTCTCCTCTGAACAGTTGATGTTGAGATGTGTCTGTTACTTGAACTATGTGAAGCATTTATTTGGGCTGCAATTTCTGAGGCTGGTAACTCTAATGAACTTATCCTCTGCAGCAGCGGTAACTCTGGGTCTTCCATTCCTGTGGCAGTCTTCATGAGAGCCAGTTTCATCATAGCACTTGATGGTTTTTGAGACTGCACTTGAAGAAGCTTTCAAAGTTCTTGAAATTTTCCGGATTGACTGACCTTCATGTCTTAAAGTAATGATGGACTGTCATTTTCTTTGCTTATTTGAGCTGTTCTTGCCATAGCCCTATTTGGTAAAAGACCAAGTCCATACTATCTTCTGTATACCACCCCTACCTTGTCACAACACAACTGATTGGCTCAAATGCATTAAGAAGGAAAGAAATTCCACCAATTTAACTTTTAAGAAGGCACACCTGTTACTTGAAATGCATTCCAGGTGACTACCTCATGAAGCTGGTTGAGAGAATGACAAGGGTGTGCAAAGCTGTCATCAAGGCAAAGGGTGGCTATTTGAAGAATCTCAAATATAACATTTTGATTTGTTTAACACTTTTTTGTTTACTACATGATTCCATATGTGTTATTTCATAGTTTTGATGTCTTCACTATTATTCTACAATGTAGAAAATTGTAAAAATAAAGAAAAACCCTGGAATGAGTAGGTGTTCTAAAGCTTTTGACCGGTAGTGTACATACAGTGGGGGAAAGAAAGTATTTAGTCAGCCACCAATTGTGCAAGTTCTCCCACTTAAAAAGATGAGAGAGGCCTGTAATTTTCATCATAGGTACACGTCAACTATGACAGACAAATTGAGGAAAAAAATCCAGAAAATCACATTGTAGGATTTTTAATGAATTTATTTGCAAATTATGGTGGAAAATAAGTATTAGGTCACCTACAAACAAGCAAGATTTCTGGCTCTCACAGATCTGTAACTTCTTGTTTAAGAGGCTCCTCTGTCCTCCACTCGTTACCTGTATTAATGGCACTTGTTTGAACTTGTTATCAGTATAAAAGACACCTGTCCACAACCTCAAACAGTCACACTCCGAACTCCACTATGGCCAAGACCAAAGAGCTGTCAAAGGACACCAGAAACAAAATTGTAGACCTGCACCAGGCTGGGAAGACTGAATCTGCAATAGGTAAGCAGCTTGGTTTAAAGAAATCAACTGTGGGAGCAATTATTAGGAAATGGAAGACATACAAGACCACTGATAATATCCCTCGATCTGGGGCTCCACGCAAGATCTCACCCCGTGGGGTCAAAATGATCACAAGAACGGTGAGCAAAAATCCCAGAACCACACGGGGGGACCTAGTGAATGACCTGCAGAGAGCTGGGACCAAAGTAACAAAGCCTACCATCAGTAACACACTATGCCGCCATGGACTCAAATCCTGCAGTGCCAGACGTGTCCCCCTGCTTAAGCCAGTACATGTCCAGGCCCGTCTGAAGTTTGCTAGAGTGCATTTGGATGATCCAGAAGAGGATTGGGAGAATGTCATATGGTCAGATGAAACCAAAATATAACTTTTTGGTAAAAACTCAACTCGTCGTGTTTGGAGGACAAAGAATGCTGAGTTGCATCCAAAGAACACCATACCTACTGTGAAGCATGGGGGTGGAAACATCATGCTTTGGGGCTGTTTTTATGCAAAGGGACCAGGACGACTGATCCGTGTAAAGGAAAGAATGAATGGGGCCATGTATCGTGAGATTTTGAGTGAAAACCTCCTTCCATCAGCAAGGGCATTGAAGATGAAACGTGGCTGGGTCTTTCAGCATGACAATGATCCCAAACACACCGCCCGGGCAACGAAGGAGTGGCTTCGTAAGAAGCATTTCAAGGTCCTGGAGTGGCCTAGCCAGTCTCCAGATCTCAACCCCATAGAAAATCTTTGGAGGGAGTTGAAAGTCCGTGTTGCCCAGCGACAGCCCCAAAACATCACTGCTCTAGAGGAGATCTGCATGGAGGAATGGGCCAAAATACCAGCAACAGTGTGTGAAAACCTTGTGAAGACTTACAGAAAACGTTTGACCTGTGTCATTGCCAACAAAGGGTATATAACAAAGGATTGAGAAACTTTTGTTATTGACCAAATACTTATTTTCCACCATAATTTGCAAATAAATTCATAAAAAATCCTACAATGTGATTTTCTGGATTTTTTTTCTCATTTTGTCTGTCATAGTTGACGTGTACCTATGATGAAAATTACAGGCCTCTCTCATCTTTTTAAGTGGGAGAACTTGCACAATTGGTGGCTGACTAAATACTTTTTTCCCCCACTGTACATACATACATATACTGTATATATGATACTTTATTGCCCATTTACATGGAAATTCATTCTGTGACGTCAGCATACACAACACAATATATGACATGCAGTACGGAAAACTGGAAAGTTAGGACACAAGTCAAACATTTACATTTCCACATATTCACATAGTGTCTGCGGCTTACCGTCCAACGGTGCATTGGGCCTGCATCTGTCCCAATGGCTGATGGAAGGAAACTTGCCTTGCTCCTATTCTTACTGAACAGTCTGACCTTTTTAATCTCCTTCCAGTAGCTCCAAACATTGGGCAAGATTGTGTGTGTTGGCTCCTCCATGATGCGATTGGCCATGTCCCTTTCCCGTTTATTATAGAGGCCCTGAAGCCCCCTGCACTGCAGCACGCCTGAGGATCACAGTCTGCCTGAGGATACCCTTATTGGCCACTGACAGCCCACAGTACCAGGCCAGGACACAGAAAATCAGCACACTCTCTATATGGCAGGTGTAGTAGTTGGAGAATATCCGGGTGTTGATATTCAGTTGTCTCAGTCTGCGCAGGAAGGGCAGTCGTTGTTGGCATTTTTTTTTTATTGATGTTGGCATTAAAAGATTGTGTTGTCCATGATGGTTCCCAGGTACTAAAAACCCCACTCTCTCTACCTCTTCACCACCCAGGACTATGTGGCTCACTGTGTCTGCCTTCCTCCGGAAACCGATTAGCAGTTATTTTGTTTTGTTGATGTTGAGAGTGAGGTAGTTGTTATTGCAACAGTCACGGACCCTGTTTACTTCTGTTTGGAAATGCAGTGTGTCATCTGAGAGGTCGACAAGGGCGGTGTCATCTGCATATTTCACTGCCAAGCAGTCTGTCGGAACCTCTCAGGTCATTGGTGTGTATAGAGAATAGCACTGGATGACAGTTCCTTGGGGTTTGCCGGTAGATGTACACAGAGGAAGGGATGTTGCGTTGTTGAACATGACATACTGCCCCACCGTTCAGCAGGAAGTCCAGCACCCACAAGGTAATGCTGGGGTCCACCTGTAGGTGGGAGAGTTTGTCACAGAGAAGGTGAGGTTGCATGCAATTAAAAGCAGAGAAGTCCAGGAAAAGGATGCACACATAAGAGTAAGGCCTCTCCAGGTGTCACGGCACTGTGCAACACCTGAAGGACTGCATCCTCCGCTGAGCTGTTCTTCCTGTATGCAAACTGCATTGGGTTAAGGGCTCCATCCACACACCTGAGATGTGTAAGTATCAAGCGCTCAATCAATCAAATGTATTTATAGAGCCCTTTTTACAACAGCAGTTGTCACAAAGTGCTTATACAGAAACCAAGCCTAAAACCCCAGAGAGTAAGCAATGCAGATGTAGAGGCACGGTGGCTAGGAAAAACACCCTAGAAAGGCAGAAACCTGTGAAGAAACCTAAAGAGGAACCAGGCTCTGAGGGGTGGCCAGTCCTCTTCTGGCTGTGCCAGGTGGAGATTATAACAGTACATGGCCATTAAGGCCAGATCGTTCTTCAAGATGTTCAAACGTTCATAGATGACCAGCAGGGTCAAATAATAATCCCAGTGGTTGTAGAGGGTGCAAGAGGTCAGCACCTCGGGAGTTAATGTCAGTTGGCTTTTCATAGCCAAGCATTTAGAGATTGAGACAGCATGAGCGGGGGGAGGTCCGGTGAACAGGTCAGGGTTCCATGGCCACAGGCAGAACAGCAGAAACTGGGTCAGCAGCACTACTAGGGATGGGGACAGCCAGGAGTCATCAGGCCAGATAGTTCTAAGGCATGGTCCTAGGGCTCAGGTCCTCCGGGAGGAGAGAGAGGGTGAGATGGGAGAATCAGAAGGAGCATATCTAACATCACACAGGAGAATTACACCAGATATTACAGACTGACCCTAGCCCCCCGGCACATACACTATTGCAGCGTAGATACAGGAGACTGAGACAGGGGGCTAGGTTACGTCTACATTTACCCCCAGACAGGGACAACCAGGCAGGGAACCCCACACACTTTGACAAAGCACAGCCCCCCACACCACTAAAGGGTTATCAACAAGCCACTAACTTACTACCCTGAGACAAGGCCGAGTATAGCCCACGAAGATCTCCCTACCGCACAAGCCTGAGGACAGGAAGGATGGAAGAGCGCGCGCAAGCTCCGCTGGACTGTTCTTCTTTAGAACTGGTTGGATCTCAGATGTCTTCCAGATTGAGGGAACCATGAGTTTTGATAAGGAGCTGTTTAAGTGAGTGCAAAAGATGTCTGCCAGCTCATCTGAGCATTCCTTCAGTAGCCGTCCCTTGATGTCTGGTCAGGGTGCTTTGTTGGATTTGATTCTCTTGAAGACCCATCTCACCACCTCCTTCTCAATGGTTGGCACCTCCCTCCATCCAGGGCCTGGAGCGCCAATTTTTCCCTGTCCTCTGCAGGATTTTCACTTCCTCTTTGTTGTCAGCAGAAAAAGCTGTCTGTTTCAACTTAAGTGTCTGTTTAAGCTCCGCGGTAATGGCTTTTTTGTTATTTGGATAGCATTTCACCATCCTTGTAGGGGCTAACATGCCCTCATAGAAATGGATATATGCAGTCACTGCTGATACTGACTCCTCAAGGGTATGATCCATTATAAAACTGTCCCAGTTTGTACAGGACAAACATCCTTGCAGGCTTTCTATAGCTTCCTCTGACCATATCTGGACTGCCCTTTCCTTAATCTTTTCCTGTTTCACTTTCTGTTTGTATGTTGGCAGTAATTTAATTGCATAATTGTCCGACGTGCTCACTGGGGGCTTTTGCAGTGACGTGTATATACCCCTTTATTATTACCATAACACAAGTCCAATTTACTATCTCCCCATGGGCTACAAGTGATATTGTTCATAGTTTGGTAGGATATTATGAAGTAAGAAGGAGTTAAAATACAGTATAAATAAAGAAGTGTGGAGGAAAAGAGAGAGAGGAGTAGGCCTAAGGGATGGCGAAGTGCCCTAAGAAGGGCTTTGCCCGTCTCCAGGAAGACTGACGTGTAAACAGGAAGAAGTATTTGGAAACACCCAGGCTTAAGTGGGTGAGCCCAGGCCGCATCATTAGGCCTGTCGTTATGACACATAACCAGTGTCCGTCTTTCCTCTTTTCCCCATAGCAGGCATGAGTCATTCTTGTTAGGGATAAGCTTTTTCCAAATGACCCCCTATTTCCTATTTATTGCACTACTTTTGACCAGGGCCCATAGGGTTCTGTTCAAATGTAGTGCACTTTATAGGGAATAGGGGGCCACTTGGAACGCAGTCCATAGTGTCTGCCCAACAACGTCCATCCCAGCTAGAGCAACCCACCCTTCTCATGAATGGATGTCATTTTTTGTAAAGACTGATGGATGAGACCATTTATTCCCTTTTTTGTAGATGGTACGGCAGGGTTTTGTAGAAGGCGTACACGAGTGGAGGAGCCAAGGCTCACCGCTCTAAAATAAGGGTTTGAATGTCCCAAACAAAAATAGCTTGAGGCTGAATTTTCTGAAAGATGTCAATTCAATGATTCAGAGTGTGATACTATTACTGTTGCTATAGGCCTTAAAAGTGTATTAACTGATATCTGGTTCCCTAAAATTGACATCATGGTGAGGACAGAATGTATCTTAACCTTTGATCAAAACTGATGTGACCGGCTTTGTAGTAATTTAGTAATGAAAGCCCGTTTTTCAGCCAACCTACTATAGACCTTTCTTTCCTTCCCACGGACCTTCGTTAGCAATCCATTTGGATGTACATTTCACTCAATTACAGGTTCAGGTCTCTTCAAAATGGTTTCAATTCCATGTCGCTCTTCTGCACGTGTGGTGTCTCGTTGAATGCCAAACCAAAATATAGTCTCACCAAGACACCAACCAGACACAAAACCCTGCTGACTGGGCTTGGGCCCTCTCCTTCACTCAACCAAGACATTCCTGCTCACCGGCAGATCAGTCTGTCTGTGGCCATCGCTGTCTGTCTTTCGCTACAATCTTTTCCTGTAGATTTATAGTGTCAGCTTCAATTCAATCAAGTGTCGGGGGAGTTTTAGGTTGGTGTCCTCTTAACGGTGGGATAATGTTGGCTTACCGGTGCTGGTCCCTCCCTATCAGCCACTTAAACCAACGTGTCTGAGTGCCTGAGGCTGGTCTAGCGGGTAACGGCACCGCCTGCAGCACATACAGATTTAGGATCTTAATTTGAGCCAGTTTGTTACAGCAGGAAAAGAATCCTGCAGCAACAGGAAATGTGAATTATAATTAATGGACATTTTTGTAGGGGTTGACACATTTTTTGTAAGGGAAACCCAAGTCTGAAATGTCAAAGTGGAAATTACAAACTTCAGAAGCCTTTTTAAACCTCAAATATACTTAGTTTTACATTTCCTGAATTGCAGGAAAGTTCTCCAGCAACAGGGTGATCACATTAAGATCCAACATCTGTGTACACCACCCCAGCGTGGGTAGGAATCCCAACCCCACCACTATTCTGCATCTTCCTCCCTTCACGGTCTCCTCACACGTTTCCTACTATCCCTATCTGAATAAAAAAACAACGTGTCTGCGAATAGTGAGTTGGACATGGTGAGAGAGAGAACGAAATGGAGGTGGTCCTCATCATCCTTATGTCTCTTGCCCTCTTCCATTTTTATGTTGTTGTGGACGTTCATTTGCCCTGAAACTATGTAGCTAAGTCTTAGCTTCAGTAGTGAACTCCTTTGGTAACCAGAATGTTAATTAGTCAGTATTAGCACAAGGACAGTAGATAAATAGTAGTATGTTTTAACACTTTGCTCTTGTCTTACATGACTTAAAAAACAAAGAGAATATTTGTGTGTATTACCTCTTTAGTTTCTCTGTACTTTATAGAATAGTTACGCCATTGTATTTGCATCTCATAATGGTGGGCAAATGTTCCTGTGAGTACTGTCTTACCTGCTAGTTAAAGGAACATTACACTTTCAATCCGAAGTTTGTGAGATGTTTTCAGACCTCCAAAGTTGTCTGATGTCAAGATGAAACCACGTCCCATCTAGCCTATATGCCTCAATCCCAAATGAATGGAAAAGATAAGCACAGAATAAAACCAGGAAATGAGACGGTGCTCATCTTTTCCATTTAGGGGTTAAGTGAGGCATATAGCTAGATCTACACAACCGATGTCATTGGATGTGGTTTCAGCTTGACATTAGTCTACTTTTGAGGTCTGAATATATCTGACAAACTTTAATTTATGAGTGAAATGTCCCTTTTAAGTTCTCCCTCCAGAAGCCAATTTGAGCTTGATGTTGATCTTGGTTTGTCTGGGCAGTATGTGGACGGGATACAACACCCTGCTCTTTCCACACGATTTAAACCAGAATATACACCAGAATATACTTTTGTATACGATTACCTGTATATTATTATTATTATTATAGTTACTGTGTAGTGTATTTGCACCTTGTTCTTGTCTTTCTGGACAGTGTGTTGTTGGGATACAACGGAACCATCTTTGCCTATGGCCAAACTGGCAGCGGGAAGACCTTCACCATCACAGGAGGCGCTGAGCGCTACAGTGACCGGGGCATCATCCCTCGCACGCTCTCTTACCTCTACCAGCACTTCAGCCAGGTCAGTCGTGTGATGGACCTAATGCTGTGTAATTTTGGATTATGCTGATTTACTCCTTTAGGGGAGAATCCTACCTCCTACTTCAGTCAAATGTTCACTTAGGACAACATTTTTCCCACACAAAATCAGCTGTGCTGTGAACTAACACACTGCCAAATTCTAAATAGCGGGAGCTTCGATACGGTACCTCGCGATTGCGTTGCGTGTGGCGTGTCTATCACGCTGTAATCTCTTGTGGACAGACAGAGGTAACATAAATGGTAACTAACGTGGAACTTTTATTCCAGTGTAGTGATTTTTTTTGGTCACTGATCATTTGGACAAATCATGATTTTGCCGGTGCTTGCATCTTTCAAATTTTGCAAGTGGAGGGGAGATGTGACCCACAGACTTGGCCAAAACATGCAGAGAGTCGGGGGGTGGAGCTACCGCCCTGCTTCCGCTCCTTGTTCTAGTATCACATCTCCCCCAGAACCTAAATTGAGCATCTGACGCAATTACGCAAGATTTTAGTTCTGGGTTGCCAAGATTAATCGCGCTGTAACTAAATCTCCTGTGGAACTAAAGATTCTCCTCATGGAAATTGTTAAAGAAAAGTTACAACATAAGTAATTCTCGATTATAATTTCACTTTCTGTGTGTTCGCTCACAGTGCATTGCAGTGTGTCTTTGCAAGTGGAAAATATCAACTTCAGTCAGTGGTGTAGTAAAAATAGTTTAAAAAAAATTGGGGTATCTGTACTTTACTTTACTATTTATATTTTTTACTACTTTTACTTCACTACATTCCTAAAGAAAATAATGTACTTTTTACTCCATACATTTACCCTGACACCCAAAAGTACTTCTTACATTTTGAATGCTTAGCAGGACAGGAAAATGGTCCAATTCACATCCCTGGTCATCTCTACGGCCTCTGATATGGTGGACTCACTATACACAAATGCTTCGTTTGTAAATTATATCTGAGTGTTGGAGTATGCCCCTGGCTATCCGTATCCTGGTTTGCTTAAAATAAGGAATTTGAAATAATTTATACTTTTACTTTTGATACGTAAGTATATTTAAAACCAAATACTTTAAGACTTTTACTCAAGTAGTATTTTACTGGGTGACTTTTACCTGAGTCATTTTCTATTACGGTATCTTTACTTTTACTCAAGTATGACAATTGCGTACTTTTTCCACCACTGCCTTCAGTCTCCCATCGACATCAATGCATGACTAAGTGAAAATTAGACCTTAGAGAGCATCTAGGCCATTGACAAATATCCTCCATCTCACTCACAAGTTTTTCCAGGTCGCTCCAGTTGAGGCCGCTTTTATCATGTAACCCATTTTCAATCAAGTTTAGGCTATTGCACACATCCACTAGTGTGTAGGCCAGCTTTAGCCAGAGGATGTGAGTGACATAAATGCAGAAAATGGCATGATATCCAATTTAATCACACCGAGAACAAGCCAAGAATTAACACGTGAATTGGCTTTTGATGCATCGCCTCTGTAGCTAGATAAGAAAGATAATCTAACAATCATTACTAACTTATATTTGCAACTAAATGAGTTTGGATAGCCCATACACTACAACTCTTTTATTAGCAGTGCATAATATGTTTATTGTTTACATACCTATGTTATGTATGGCTTATGAATGTGTTAAGTCCTTACGAAGGTACCTTTTCAAATGTGTTACCATAACCACCTAAATGGGTCATTGTATTGTCTTGTGTTGCTCTAATGGACATCTACAGGACAGCAGTATGGTGTACACCACCCACATCTCTTACCTGGAGATCTACAACGAGGTGGGCTATGACCTGCTGGACCCCCGGCACGAGGCCTCTCGCCTGGAGGACCTACCGTCAGTACCTCCATCTTTCTTTTACCCTACTCTAATTAGGCCTGTATGCTTAAAGAAGTCCTCCAGTGATTTTTGAACTTTTCCTGTTGAAAAGTACACTAAAGGGTAAAAAAAAAATGTTTTCAGCAAAATAGTGTTTTTTTAGACAAAACTGCAAACTTCAAGGAGTAGGGCATTCAAGGAGTTGGTTTGATAGGAAGACATGATGTCATCGGCCTCCCCACTTGCTTAATGAACAATAGAGGAGCAATGGAGAACAAAAGAGGAAAGGCCCAACCCCCCACTTGTGTTATGTCATGACTTACCTGGACCACCTATTGAGATGTCCCTTTTGTTAAGTAAATCATGTGTTAAATTAGGTGAAAATGAGTCTGGAGTTCCACTCAATATAGGCTTGGTACATCCATTACTTTTAAATTGATATATAGCCATTGATTCTTGAAGAACTTATAAATGCCTCATGAGCTTTGTTCAACTGTCCTACCCCATCAGAACCCAAAATGTAAACCTGTTTTAGTACATTGTTTGTAAACAATGCAATTGTAAACAAACACTGTAGGCTAAAACAATACTTTTGATCTCATGGACGGTCAGTCCTTGCATCCATAGCTCTGTCTCTGAATTTGAATGCTTACATTTCTCCAGCCCTGTTGCTCATCTGTTTAACAAAACAGTGGCAGTGTGACCACTGTTGTTTTTCCAATTCCGGAATGCCCTTTTAATACAAACTATACGTCTACATAACATCCACTATATTGTTCTACATTTATATGCACCTTTTCCTTTCCTGTGTTCTCTTTCTCTATCAGGTAATTTTATATATATATATTAAAAGGGCAAATATATATACAGTGAGGGAAAAAAGTATTTGATCCCCTGCTGATTTTGTACGTTTGCCCACTGACAAAGAAATTATCAGTCTATAATTTTAATGGTAGGTTTATTTGAACAGTGAGAGACAGAATAACAACAACAAAAATCCAGAAAAACGCATGTCAAAAATGTTATGAATTGATTTGCATTTTAATGAGGGAAATAAGTATTTGACCCCCTCTCAATTAGAACGATTTCTGGCTCCCAGGTGTCTTTTATACAGGTAACGAGCTGAGATTAGGAGCACACTCTTAAAGGTAGTGCTCCTAATCTCAGCTTGTTACCTGTATAAGAGACACCTGTCCACAGAAGCAATCAATCAATCAGATTCCAAACTCTCCACCATGGCCAAGACCAAAGAGCTCTCCAAGGATGTCAGGGACAAGATTGTAGACCTACACAAGGCTGGAATGGGCTACAAGACCATCGCCAAGCAGCTTGGTGAGAAGGTGACAACAGTTGGTGCGATTATTCGCAAATGGAAGAAACACAAAATAACTGTCAATCTCCCTCGGCCTGGGGCTCCACGCAAGATCTCACGTCGTGGAGTTGCAATGATCATGAGAACGGTGAGGAATCAGCCCAGAACTACATGGGAGGATCTTGTCAATGATCTCAAGGCATCTGGGACCATAGTCACCAAGAAAACAATTGGTAACACACTACGCCATGAAGGACTGAAATCCTGCAGCGCCCGCAAGGTCCCCCTGCTCAATAATGCACGTATACAGGGCCGTCTGAAGTTTGCCAATGAACATCTGAATGATTCAGAGGAGAACTGGGTGATTGTGTTCAGTGTTGTTGTCAGATGAGACCAAAATCGAGCTCTTTGGCATCAACTCCAAGAACACCATCCCCACCGTCAAACATGGAGGTGGAAACATTATGCTTTGGGGGTGTTTTTCTGCTAAGGGGACAGGACAACTTCACTGCATCAAAGGGACGATGGACGGGGCCATGTACCGTCAAATCTTGGTTGAGAACCCTTAGCCAGGGCATTGAAAATTGGTTGTGGATGGGTATTCCAGCATGACAATGACCCAAAACACACGCCCAAGGCAACAGGAGTAGCTCAAGAAGAAGCACATTAAGGTCCTGGAGTGGCCTAGCCAGTCTCCAGACCTTAATCCCATAGAAAATCTGTGGAGGGAGCTGAAGGTTCGAGTTGCCAAATGTCAGCCTCGAAACCTTAATGACTTGGAGAAGATCCGCAAAGAGGAGTGGAAAAGAATCCCTCCTGAGATGTGTGCAAACCTGGTGGCCAACTACAAGAAACATCTGACCTCTGTGATTGCCAACAAGGGTTTTGCCACCAAATACTACGTCATGTTTTGCAGAGGGGTCAAATACTTATTTCCCTCATTAAAATGCAAATAAATCTATAACATTTTTGACATGCGTTTTTCTAGATTTTTTTGTTGTTATTCTGTCACTCACTGTTCAAATAAACCTACCATTTGATGTGTGTGTGTGTGTGTGTGTGTGTGTGTGTGTGTGTGTGTGTGTGTGTGTGTGTAGAAAGGAAATACAGTGCCATACTCAAAAGGCCTATTACCAAACAATATAAAACAATTTCACCTACCCATACTGGAATGAGTTTGATTATGTTTTCCATTTTAGTCATTTAGCAGACGCTCTTATCCAGAGCGACTTACAGTTAGTGAGTGCATACATTTTTTTCATATTGGTCTCCCGTGGGAATTGAACCCACAACCCTGGCGTTGCAAGCGCCATGCTCTACCAACTGAGCATGAGTTATACTTAGAGCCTATGACAGGTTCTCGTCTGTCAGGCTGGCTCTGTGAAGCCTCCGGCATTGTTCCAACTGGCACTCTATTCCCTATATAGTGCACTACTTTTGACCAGAGCCCTATGGGACTCCAGTATTTAACATCCCGCTACCAACTGTTAACTGATAAATGGCGATGTGTGAAGGAAATGGATGGCATTTCTTCTCCTGATATTCATTTCAAGAACTGCCGAGGAGTTCTTCGTCGTCTCACTGCTGCAACGTGAGCTGGCATTTATGCGGAGCTCTGGTCGCCAGCTGCTTTTGTGTGTGGTGCCTCCCACTTTCTTTATCCGTGTACCTCTCACTCCTTTATTTCTTTCTCTTTCTCTCTCTGTCTCTCTCTATCAAAACGTTATTTTATTTTATTAATTTTTTTTGTGAACATTGGCAACAGAAAAGTTGTAGAGGATAGTAGATGAAAGAACTTTGGATACTTTATCTTTGTCTCTCTGTTGTCCTCGTCTCCCTAGGTTTGTCTCTTACCCTGTCTCTTTTTAGTATCTTATAGACTGGTACAGTACTATATGCATTGGTGCCAATGCCACATGTACATAACCTTCATTGCAAAGAATCTTGTGCATTTCAATTAAAAAATATGAGTTACCCTGCTGACTGATTGACTGATGCAAAAAGTTGTATCGATGATTGTAACTGAAATTAAGTTCTGCTGAGTTGAATGAAGTTACAATTTTGTCTTTATAAGTTCAAACGAAAACCTGTTTACAGTGAGTTTTGCACGACACATGGTATTCCCTACTTTGCAAATAACATGCGTTATGCGACTTTGTGCCACCCTGGGAATATTGTGCTACACTCTAGGCCCTATAGCGCCTACAGGGTTTGTGCATTTACTTCCTGTTCATGTTTTTCTTTTTAAACTTCTCTTCCTCCTTCCCCTCCTCTCTCCCTCCCTCGCTGTTTCACTCTCTCCATCCCTCGCTGTTTCACTCTCTCCATCCGCGGGAGATTTGGCTCTAGGTTTGAGGACCCACAAATGACATCTGGAAATAGACTGTGCCCACTGTTGACCACGCTGGCCACACTCCTGTTTCAAGGAGATGCTGTCTCTCTCTCTCTGTTTCTCTCTGCCTTTTATCTTTGTTTTTCTCTTTCTCTTTTTTCTGGAGTTCTCTTCTCTGACTTTTGTAGTGGTATTTGTGTGTGTGGTACTAAACACCCTTTGGTTTCTGTTTCTCTCTTTCTTTGTCTCTCTCTCTTTTCTAGATTTTTATTCTCTATCTCCTGAGGGATATTGACATCATGGGCTTTAGCAACTTTACTCATCCCGCCTCATAGCAATGTCTCTAGGTTGGACGAGCCAACAGAAGCCTGTTGTTGTGTGCCAAAACCCCATCCTAAATAGAGCGATTTCCCAGTCCAAACCCACAAATGTAAACTCTGCTTGAAATGCATCTCTTCACAATCTGCAGTATATTTGTATACAAGTTTTTTTCTCCTATTCCAATACCTAACCCAGTCCTTTCATTTGAGTCGTGTGGAGGTTTTGAAAATGTTTCTTTCAGTCCAGCCCTCCATTCAGTGAGTTGGCTTGTTTATTTACACTGATGGCAAGCAGAGAGGTCGGGCACAACGTAGCCTCACGTCAAGGCTATGCCAATTCCCCAAATGCCACACAACGTTTTTTCTGTCAATGGTAGCAATCGATTTACTTCACCATGGTTCAGCTTTTCCTACAGCAGCGGTTACCAAACTAGGGGTCGCAATCCCATGTGGGGATGCCTGATATGTAAATGAGTCGCGGGATAATTTTTAAAATCCTGAAGAAGAAAAAACTATATACATACATACATACATACATACATACATACATACATACATACATACATACATACATACATACACATAAAGTACCAGTCTAAAGTTTGGACCCACCTACTCATTCCAGGTTTTTTTTTGTATTTTTACTATTTTCTACATTGTAGAATAATATTGAAGACATCAAAACTATGAAATAACACATATGTAGAAACCAAAAAAAGTGTTAAACAAATCAAAATATATTTTGGATTCTTCAAAGTAGCCACCCTTTGCCTTGATGACAGCTTTGCACACTCTTGGCATTCTCTCAACCAGCTTCATGAGGTAGTCACTAAACTTACTACATTTGCACACACTGTATATAGATTTTCTATTGTGTTATTGACTGTACGTTTTGTTTATCCCATATGTAACTCTGTGTTGTTTTTCATCGCACTGCTTTGCTTTATCTTGGCCAGGTCGCAGTTGTAAATGAGAACTTGTTCTCAACTGGCTTACCTGGTTAAATAAAACAAATTAAAGTCACCTGGAATGCATTTCAATGAACAGGTGTGCCTTGTTAAAAGTACATTAATGTGTTTTAGCCAATCAGTTGTGTTGTGACAAGGTAGGGGGGGGGGGGTATACAGAAGATAGCCCTATTTGGTTAAAGACCAAGTCCATATTATGGCAAGAACAGCTCAAATAAGCAAAGAGAAATGGACAATCCATCATTACTTTAAGACATGAAGGTCAGTCAAAGTTTCTTCAAGTGCAGTCGCAAAAACCATCAAGCGCTCTGATGAAACTGGCTCTCATGAGGACTGCCACAGGTAAGGAAGACCAAGAGTTACCTCTGCTGCAGAGGATAAGTTCATTAGAGTTAACTGCACCTCAGATTGCAGCCCAAATAAATGCTTCACAGAGTTCAAGTAACAGACACATCTCAACATCAACTGTTCAGAGGAGACTGTGTGAATCAGGCCTTCATGGTCAAATTGCTGCAAAGAAACCACTACTAAAGGACACCAATAAGAAGAAGAGACCTGCTTGGGCCAAGAAACACGAGCAATTGACATTAGACCAGTGGAAATCTGTGCTTTTGGTTAGATTTTTGGTTTTATCCACCGTGTCTTTGTGAGACGCAGAGTAGGTGAACGGATGATCTCCGCATGTGTGGTTCCCACCGTGAAGCATGGAGGAGGAGGTGTGATGGTGTGGGGGTGCTTTGCTGGTGACATTGTCTGTGATTTATTTAGAATTCAAGGCACACTTAACCAGCATGGCTACCACAGCATTCTGCAGCGATACGCCATCCCATCTGGTTTTTGCTTAGTGGGACTATCATTTGTTTTTCAACAGGACAATGACCCAAAACACACCTCCAGGCTGGGTAAGGGCTATTTGACCAAGGAGAGTGATGGAGTGCTGCATCAGATGACCTGGCCTCCACAATCCCCCGACCTCAACCCAATTGAGATGGTTTAGGATTAGTTGGACCGCAGAGTGAAGGAAAAGCAGCCAACAAGTGCTCAGTATATGTGGGAACTCCTTCAAGACTGTTGGAAAATCATTCCTTATGAAGCAGGTTGAGAGAATGCCAAGAGTGTGCAAAGCTGCTTTGAAAAATCTAAAATCTATTTTGATTTTGTTTTTAACACTTTTTTGGTTACTACATGATTCCATATGTTATTTCATGGTTTTAATGTCTTCACTATTATTCTACAATGTAGAAAATGGTAAAAATAAAGAAAAACCCTTGAATGAGTAGGTGTCTCTAAACTATTGACTGGTACTGTATATTGTATCGTCTTTATCTCAGTCATTGTAATGTGGTAAAAATCTAAATCATTGGAAAAGTTCTCACTTTATAGTTGAACTTGAATCATTCCCACAGTGAATGGCGAGGCCCACTATGCTATGAAACCACACACTATTGCAGATACTTTGATATTACCGGCCGCAATTGATATGGTGAAAACAATGTGTAGGGAGGCAGAGGCACAGAAACTCACGTCAATACCTTTGTCAGATAACTCTGTTAAACTAAGAATTGATGCTATTGCTAGCAATTAAGAGGAAACTGACTGAATGACAAAAAAAACTCCCCATCTTATTCTCTCCAAATGGACGTTAGCTGTGAGAGCCGAGATGCCCATGCATTGACTGATGTTCGCTATACATGTCGGGGGATGCTATTCATGAGGACATATTGTTATGTCTCTTGATTCCTGAGCATGAAACGGCACAGGGGATGTTCGGTGTGATACGTCGCAATATTGACGAAAAACAGATTCCATGGGATAGAATGGTGGGCTTTTCCACAGACCTCCATCTATGGTGGGACTGCTGGCAGGCCTCTCTGCATTCTAGTTATGAATGTGTCTCCCTTTGCCATGTGAACGCTTTGTATGATACACCGAGAGCAACTGGTGGCAAAAGAGCTGAGCACAGATCTCTGAGATATACTACAGCAGGTAACTTAGAATTGAAAACTACATCAAACCACATCCACTGCACACACGCCTGTTCGCAAAACTATGTGGAGATATGGCATCAGAGCATGACAACGTTCTATTTCACACCGAAGCTTGGTGGTTATCGAGGGGGAGTGTTGGAAAGATTTTTCTCATTGAGAGAGGAAACGTCATTCATAATGGATGTAAAAAAAAAAACAGACTTGGTTGATTTTCTGTGCCTATGTAACAGACATATTTGGAAAACTGAACGCAAGCATGCAGGGGAAATACTCATTCTACAGATGAGTGACCGAATCAGTGGATTCAGAGGAAAAAAGTATTATTGGAGAGTGTCTTTCAAAAGCGAACCATGACCCCTTCCCTCGGTTGTGCATGTTTCTAACAGAAAACAGCATCATATCGCTAGCTCATATCTGCGTGAAGCTGGATTCAGTGCTCTCGTCTGCATTGAAACCAAATATCTATCCAGGTTGGATGTGACAGCAGAGATGAGGTGCACACTGTCGACCACGCCCCCTGACTTTGAGAAGCTCCGATGAGACATGCATCAAGCACACCCATCTCATTAGTGATGGTGAGATAAGATACAGTGACTTGCGAAAGTATTCACCCTCCTTGGCAATTTTTCCTATTTTGTTGCCTTACAACCGGTAATTAAAGGCACTGTACATTATGTCAGACTAATTTGCAATTGACTGTCATAGCCCCACATTAAAAGTATGTGCTGGTGAGTTGAGAAGACAATCAGAAATATTGTTAGACATTTTTTCAATTGACTGCCATAGCCCCAAATAAAAAAAGTTAACATTGGCTGTTAATTACATCATATTATTCACTTGGTTGGGGTTGCGGAATTTTCAGATACTGTGTCAAAATGGGTTCGTGGGCCAAAAAAGTTTGGGAACCCCTGTGACCTACGGTGTTCTCTGTCATTGCGTTCTGCCTCAGTAGTCACGTCCATTTTGACATTTGTGAATGTTGTAATGAACAATCGAAATGCATTTCACAAATGAAAGAAGAAGATCCCGCAATGATAACCCATTTCCAATCATTTCCTAGGCTACGTCCAGATTCTCCACCATTCTCCTGAAGTGTGCACTTTCACACAGATCAGGGATTGGTGTCAGCAAGCATTGGCTGGAGGTACTATCCACCATTGTTTAATACATATATCGAATACCAGTGAATTGGGACACAGTAATATGCAGTCGCGAACTAAGAAGGATAGCACCCCAGTAAAAGTCATCATGACTGTTGATGACCCAACATTAGCAGGGATGGTCAAGAACTATCCTACATTGTATGACATTGTACCAAGAACATGTCAATCACCCTTTTGCTTGCTTTCAAACTTTCACTCAGCCCTCTCATCCTCTTCGACCTGTCAGTCAATCAATCCTTTGGGATGTGTTTGCAGTGGTGGCCTAAGAAGTGACGCCCAACATCTGTACAAGCCATCTCTATTTGATGTCACTTGATGTGGGCAATAACTCATCCACAGTTTGTTTTTCAGAGCCTGCATCCTAAATGGCACCCTATTCTCTACATAGTGCACCCATAGGGCTCTGGTCAAAATTAGTGCACTATACAGTATAGGGAATATGGGACCATTTGGAACGCATACAGAGTGTGCCTGTCTATCACATTATAATCTGGGAATGGGATAGATAAAGCATGTGTACAGCAGGCCAGGCCACAGGGCTGTAGCTGTAGCCCAGTGTCTTCGTCTGCGTCCCAAACGGCACCCTGTTCCCTTTGTAGCACATTACTTTTGAACCAATAGTGCACTACATAGGGAAAAGTAGTGTACTATATAGGGAGTAGTGTGCCATTTGGGACATAGCCTTGCAGATGAGGTTTGTTTGGATTGAAGGCTGGCTTCTAGGAGGGACGGGGGTGTGGTAGAAATATTAGTTCAATAATATCTCTCAGAAACCGGAGCCTGTGAATTCAGAATATACTTTATTACAAAGTAACAAAGCCGAGCTGGTCCATGGAGCAACTGCCT